GTATGCAGCAGAAGGGAATCCGAGGCATTCACCGTATTTACGTGTCGATAATAACCATTTTTCTGTATCGTTCAACCATTAAAAGCTCCGATGGTCCTGTTCCAGATTCCGGGGATGTTGACTTGAATTGCAGTCAACTGATCCCTATGCATCTAAGAGAAAGCGATCAAATAGGTGCAGACAAGGTCCAATCCTCCTAGCGGGCAAAGGCTCAACAGGTTGTTGAACAAAGCCTGGATGGCGAGATTAATATTGCTGAGGTTCTTGACGATAGCGGCGTTGATGAATGCAGTAATGGGGGACAAAGACTCGTGTAGGGGAAGGTATCCTTGAGATAGGTCAGAGGCAGCTATCTTGCCTGCGAAAGTGCAAGTCCAACAAGGATAGCGTCACACTGAGGGTCGGCCAGAATGGTGCTGATGCTCTGGAAATGATTCAACGACGTTCGTGTAAGCCATGAGTGGACGCTCCCGTCGGCGATGGCGTTGAGGTCGTTTATCGACGTCGAGATAGCCGGCATAGAAAAGGGGATTATCTTGTTTCAGTCCGTCAGTCCTGGCCCGGCACATCAGGAAAGAAATACCTGCGTGCCTTTGCGGCGAGATCAGTGCAGTTGTGAGCGGCGTGAAACTCTGTATCGAAGTCCCCAGCCTGCTCGCGACTATCGATATTTCACGCACGATGATCGCTCCATAATACTTAACGGGCACAAACGGAAGTGACAGCCAGGAGAGCAGAGAGACGAGTAAAGTGAACCATTTCGCAGAGGATGCACGGGGATGAACTGTTACTCTGCTCGTCGAGCGGCTCCAGCCCCAACCATTTCATAGACAAATCGGATGGCAGAGGAGTCCAACAACGCGCATCGAGCCGTCTTCCTATAAATCGGTAAAAGAAAATGGCCTTGCTCCGATGGCGAGCTCGAGGGGCTCATTGTCTTCTTCTCACTTCGTGGTTGAGCCCGTGGACGTCCTCGGAGCCAACCTGCGAGCTAGCGCACTGGAATCGCGACTGACTAGATCTGCCTGCGCCCAAACCTCGACGCACGAACGCCGCGGGAACTGTTGAATATCGTTGCCCCACTTCTGTGCCTTACTGACGAAAAACCCGCAACAATAGAGAAAGGAGCGAATGAGCATCAGATCGAAGGCGCTGGATTGGGGGATGGAGCCCTTGGGCTTCTGCATGCAAGGAATGGCGTGCACTGGGCCAGGCTGACGCAGGCCCGGGAGCGGGAGTGAAATAACCCTCGGAAAAGTGCACGGGATAGATTACTCTTTGGGATACTTTTGCAGGTACCAAAATGCAGAGTGGGAGCAAATAAACACCAGGCCGAGAGCGAGAGGCCGAAGTTCCCAGAGAAGACGTGCGGTAGGTCGGTCTATGTGATCGAATGTACCCATGAGGGAACTCGGAAGAGCGGACTCCCAAGAAGCGCACGGGCAGGACCGAGACGGCTTTTATTACGCGGCCGTGAGTGGAGATGGTGTGAGATGGGATGAGCCACCGCGCAAGAACGGGGCGTTTAATGCGGAGAAGACGTACGTCTCGCGAGGGGATTGACGACATCTAAATGAGTACTTACGAGCAGAAGGCTTCATTCCACGCCGATGAGAGTTCTAGATGCGGACAGTCCTGATGATGTTCAAATCGGACTCGTGCAGTACACCTGGTCCTGGAAGTCGTCGTAATTCAGATGGGAGTAAAGAGGACAAAAGCGTAGTCACGCCCTCGTCACATCAAAAACGCGACCACGTGCTTGGCGCGTCAATCCAAACCTACCCCGGATGCGCCGAATCGGACAGATCTTGTTTGTGACTTTGAGCGAGGCATTAACAGGCATGTGGTCTGTTCACGCGTCATGGCGCACGAAATCTTTCTGTTGATGTGAAAAATAACTCGGCCTCGAGGCGCCCAAGGGAATGGTAAATGCGGAATGGAAAGAAAGCACAGATATGGAAACGGCGAACGTGTACACTCTTCTGTGATCCACAGGACGTAAATAATATATCAGTAATGACCCGACAGGAACTCAGACCTCAGCGAGCCGTCAAGGATTTGAAAGTTGCGAACCGAGTGAGTGGATGGTGGGTTGGATTTAACAAAATTAACGAATCCAAGGAAAAGCACTTGCTTGCGTCATATTTGGAACGGTTCACGGTTTATCCGTGCTCAAGCCGCGCCTCCACCTCTGATCACATGCGCCACTTATATAAAAATGACGAGACTTGCTCTTCCTGTGTACCGTTCTAATGGACCCCACGGTTATCCCACCCTTCCCAGACAGTATCCCTACGCATCCGCTGCTTGTTATCGACTATGAGCACATCAAGGCCGGAGACAAGGACGAGATCGAGCGTCTATGGACAGCTGGAACGACCCTCGGCTTCTGGTAGTGCGTGTGAATTTGATACCGATAATAATATTGCGAAATGATACTCACTCAAATTGTAGCTTGAAGAATTATGGTATGGAGGAAGAGATAAACGGGATGTTCGCTATGGGAGCGGAGACGATGGCGTTGCCTTTAGAAGAAAAGATGAGGTACGAGGTAGGGGATGAAGGTGGATCATTTGGGTAAGATCTATAAATTGTCCCGGCATGGAAAACATGACCTTGCTTTTGAGCAGATACAAAGCCGCCGCCACGAATGCGATTGATCCAAAGGGTACCCTGGACAACACCCAATTTATAAACATCGCCAAGGACGATGCGGTAGCTTGGCCCACACAAGCTAGGCGATCGTATCCATCCACCGTCAACGTTCGGATGGAGTCAACCATCATTCCATTCATCGAAAAGTCTTTGGTTATAAATCAAACGCTTTTGAACGTTTTTAACGACAAGCTGGGACTTCAACAGGGTGCTCTTGCGAACCTACACCGTCGGGAAGAACACAGCGAGTGCGTGGCAAGATGTTTGTTCAGCCCGCCGATCTTGAACCCACAAGCGTTCCTCGGAGCACATACTGGTTTGTGGCTTCCTTTGCTTTCCTCATTCATCGCATATTTTATCTATCCTTCAGATTTTGGCTCTCTGGTAGGACCTATGCATCTTAAAATGATTACCCGCTTATTTTTCCTCGAGTCCTTTCTGCATAATCGCCTCGGAGGACTACAAGTCCTCGTCCCAGGATCTGAAACATGGCAATACGTGAAGGCATGTAATCCGATCCAAAAACCCATTTTGTTCGACTGTCCCTGAAATTTTCAACAGCCTCTCCCTGGTCACGCAATATGCAACCTCGGCGACGCAATGGTACTCTTGAGCGGAGGGATTCTACGCTCGAACATCCATCGTGTTGTGTTCGTTTCATCTTTCTTTTATTTCACGGAAGGAAAATGATATTCTTGCAGAAATCCCCCCGGCGCACAGGGCTCTCTTCCTCGCTTCTCCCTGGTATACTTCACCCGCCCGAATAGTTCAGTGTTACTCCGCGCTCTTACGAATGAGAGCTCGATGATAGCCGAAGCCGTCAAAAGTGCGCCGAATCCAAAAGATTTTGACCCAGGACCCGGTGTAACGGCAGCCGAATGGGTGACGCGGCGAATACGAAATCGGCGTGCGGCGAACTTCAAGGTATCGTCTTGCACCAAATTCTTCTATAAATTCTAAATCAGGTTGAACTTTTGCAGGGAGCAGATGAGTGGGTTGCTGGATCGAAAGGGACTGAGCATGCCATGGAGGCTGCAGTAGTATATTAAAATTTGAATGAAACCAACTACGATTCCGAACTTTCTAGATTGAACGGGCATCGCGGCCCTCGGGAACGTGGGAATCAATCTAGCAAGACTGGGTTCAATTGCCAAAGTATTCAAGCTTAATCAGGTTCAGGGCCCTTTTTTCTTCCCTTTGATCCCCTTTGTGCTCTGTTTTCGGGCTCTGATTGGTGTAACCCACTGAGGGTTCAAATTTGGTCACTTCAATACTTTGTAAGTTGAGAGTCTCAGAATGCTCGTAGGGTACACTACTACTCTTCACTTGGGTTGAAGACGCGGACTATTAGACAAAGGGAGTAAATAAGGCAGTAAGAAACGTAGAAAAAGGGACATTTCAAAAGGGGCGGGGACGGTTATTTTCATAATTGTTTCATGGATTCCGGGTGGAGATCCTGCGACAGACAATAAAGAATATTTGCCTTGCAGTCAGGGCAGTCCTCTCCGGAAATCCCTACGTCCGCAGCGCAATTTCTGTAGTATTGAAGATTTTTCAGCGATCCCACCTGTACATTTGGTTCAGCATTTACTTGGTCTCTGAATCGCGTCTCACCACTCTCCACCCTCGGAATTTATCCTACAGGTTTTCATTAGGTGTGGGCTGCTCTGCTCCATCTAGCCCTTGAAGTACACCCAAATGGCTTGCTGCTATTCGGAAATGTATCAGCTTCTCTTGAATGTACGGACGCAACATTGACACACTTGCCAACCGTATGAGCACGGAAGGAAATGGTGAATGCGAGTGGCTCAATCACTGCTCAATAGCTTGGGCCTGGTGAGCGAGTGTGAGAAGGCAGGGAGACGGCGAGGACGAGTGTAGACGCGAGCGAGAGCGACCTCAGCAACGACGAAGGCTGAGAAACAAATGACGAGCCGAGCTGCGACGTGAATCGGAATCGTATATTGCGTAGAATACAGAGATGAGATGCAGAATATATACCGAGAGCTAGAGGGGTAAGTGGAGTAAAGACAAATATAGGTGAAACTAGTAGGAACAAGGAGAGCGAGGCGATGGGGAAATAAATACAGAGAGGAGAACGAGGCGATGAGTGGAACGGAATATCAATAATACGAGTGAATCGGGAGTGTGCGGGCGAGCTAGACAGAGAGAAGAGAATATATGAAACCGTGGGAACGTATCGGGGATCTCGGCGACGTTGGTTTACGAGCCTGGCGCGCGAGCGTGTGCGTCAGCATAACACACATTTTAACAGCGGAATGAAACGGATCGAGATGATTCAGCTGGTGATGGTTCCGGCCTCCAGTGGAAGTTGACGTTGAACTTCCCTCTTGCTCAATTGGTGGAGCGCATCACTAGTATCCACAAGAACTCGCGGTCTCTATCATGATGAGGTCAGTGGTTCAAATCGGCTAGCGGGAATGGTCCTTAAGGTCGCTCTATTTGTTTGTGAGGAGGAACAGGTTCAAAACGGGCGATGGAGCCTCCACTTTTATTTAGAAGCGTCTTCGGGCTGCTGATCCGGTATGTACTAGAATCAACCGGCCCATATCCTATGGAGCACACGCCATAAGGTACGGCTCAAACCGTCGTCGGCTTTGTGATTTCTTTGAGTTGATGAGGCTTCCATTGTAATTTCAACTCAGCTTAACCGCCCCCTTCGAATGAGGCGCTGCCTTCTTTCTCATTGTTCCATTACGTTCTTCGCAACACATATCAGTAATGTCAGTTCACAGAGTCCGCGGATTCCGGAAGTGAGTTTAGTTTAAATTTGTTTCATACGTCTGATATCGTGCTTCTGCAGTATGGAGTGGACTGACTGGCCTCTGAATCAACGAGGTTCGTTCAAGTTGGAAGTTCGCTTAATCACAGCACCATCGACTCAACTTACTTCAAACAGTTCGCATTCTGGACTGAAAACATGTACTTTCCACTACCTTTAATCCTACATACTCCTATGGCCGGGATCATTTGGCCTTCATCCGACTCCCGCACTCTACTTGCGAGCAATCTACATATATATGTCGCCGCATGATTACTTCAACTGCCTATGCGCTCTGAGGTACTGTCCTCTCAAAATCAATTTGACAAGGGTCGCAAAATCTTTGGCTGCCAGGTTCAATTTGGGTTGCAAAATTCCGATTCCGGTCGAAGCAACAAAAAGCCTTGAGTTCACGTTGAAAGAGCTGGAAAAATATCTTGGCGGGATGTAGAAGATGTCATGGATCTCTTTGGGTTTCGTGCCTTCAGAACCATTTTCTACATTATGCGCTTCCCAATTTATGGGTTAGTCACACTGTCCGGAGCCTTTTGAAACTCCGACTTTTCCGCCTCAACTGCCCGCCGCGGCCAAATTTGTCGGAAAAATAAAAATAGTCTTATCAGATTGTCACATTATAAGGCTCTGATAAGACACTGACAAATATTGTCAGAGCCAATCAGAGCAACAGCGGCCTTATTTTGGCCTTATAACACTAAATAGGAGTTATATCTGTCTTATCAGGGTCTTATCATGACCTTATTGGCCCAGCTTTCTATCGGATCAGGCCTTATAATGCTTGCCGTCATTACGGCCTTATGGAGCCTGATCAGGCCTTGTCATGTAAATTACAAATTTCCGACAAAGTTAAGCGCTCAACCAAGCGCCAGCTTCAACTCAATCTCCGCCGCCCACCAAGCGCTTGTTGAGTACATCAGGAAAATCGGGAATGTGGAAGCCCAAATGAGACAAGGATCTGTGGCGGACACCTGTTGATTGCTGTAGATGCGGCAATACGCAATTGCCGCGTACATGGCAATGGCGTAAGGTTGTTCATTTCGGCACGGGTAATGCGTGCCATCAGTCTGCCAGATCGATGCCAGATCGTTACTTGCCAGATATAAGTATCAACTGACTGGAGACTGCCGAACAACCCATTTCTTCTCCACACCACCATGGCGGAAACTCTGGGCATCGTTGCGTGCATTCTTCAACTCGTCGACACGGCGCTTAAAGCTCGGGAATATACCCTCGATTTCTTCCACGCACCCCTGGAGCAGAAGACTTTGGTATCGGAGATGAAAGACCTCCAAGCGCTTTTGGACGAGCTTCATATACGGATAGCCCACAATAAAACCAGTCGCTCGAGTAGTATGCTCCAGCAAATGGAGCGTCCGCTTGGGGAGTTCAAGTTGACGATGGAAGGATGCATCAAGAAGCTACAACCAGCGGCAGGGTCGGTCTCGAAAGTCTCGAAACGGCTGACTTGGACGTTGTGGGAGAAGAAGGAAGCCAAGGAATATCTGGACAAATTTGAGCAGTTCAAATCACTTCTCAATCTATGGCTGTCGATGAATATATGGTCTGCTTGGCTGTCGTTTGCATGCCCGCCCTTCGAGCTGATTTTAGCTCTTCAGGGACATGGAGCAGGAGCATCACGGCAGTCAGTGGCAATCCCTTCGCGTAATTTATTTGAAGCCGACCGAAATGCACGCAGTTGTACTCCAATCGGTTGGAAAAATGCAACGTATGTGGTTGTGAAATGTTACGCCTATACCCTCGTCCAATTCGAGCCAGGAACGATCGGGGATACCCTTTCTGAGCAACGGCGGCAAATGGATACAAACCACAACGGTGAGTGATAAAGCTTGAGCTGATGAGAACCAACATACCATGTTTAGCCGTCTTGGGTTCTGTGGACAATGTCGCTGCTCTTATTAGTCGACAGCAAGGTGTGTTACTTTTTCTCGACGCTAATAATACCTAGAATTTGCACTTGCGCCAGGAACCTTGACCAGGATCACGGAGAAGATGTCGGAACAGGTAGATTGTGAGTGCTAGTTCCACGACAGACGATGTTCCAAACACCCCTTCAGCTGAGGAGCGCACGAACATAATTGAGTGGTTGGCACCACAACCACTCAATTTCTTCCTTCGGCAGGCGGCCGTCTCTTCTGCGCGGCAACCTGGAACTGGAGAATGGTTGCTCGCAGATCCCCGGTTCCAGAAGTGGAAATCTGTGTCCGGAGAGACACTGTGGTGTCATGGGATTCGTGAGTGACCTCTTCTTGATTTCCACCACCAATCATCTCGTTTCGATAGCGGGTGCTGGCAAAACCATTCTTGCGTATGCTTCTACCCAGACCACTGATTGATACTGATCGTCAGGTTGATTAGATCCCTGGTTGTAGATCACCTCAATGCCGAATCACTGAGCACAGATACTGGCGTGGCTTGTATATATCTGGATCACAAGCAAACAGATAGAATACAATCTCCTACCAACCTCCTTGCTCATCTCTGGAAGCAGCTGGTACTTGGGAGACAGATCCCCTCCAGAGTCGAGAAGATGTATAGGCAACAGTCTGAAAAGGGCACTACCCCTTCCCTCGACGAGGTTCAAGAGGTGCTTTTCTCTCTGGTTGCAGAGTTTCGAAAGGTCTACATTGTCGTCGATGGGCTGGATGAATATCCCGAAATTCAACGCCAAATCTTGCTCACACGCCTTGCTACAATGGGGCCTACCATCAATATTAATTTATTGACCACTGCCCGGTCTCATATCGCCCATGACCTGCTCCTCCCACACACCGAAACTCTGGAGATCGTTGCAAACAGCGATGATGTTCGGAGATATGTCGAAGAACAGATCAAAATCTCGCCGCGCCTCTTGCGACATGTTCGACAGCAACCTGCCCTACAAGGGGAAATAGAATTGAAAATTTGCAGCACCATGCACGGAATGTAAGTTAGGTTCAGCTATCGGGGATCTCATACTGAAAACAATTGTATCAGGTTCCTGCTCGCCAAGCTTCATATGGATTCACTCCGCCGTGAACGGTCCAGCGAAGGAGTGCGGGCTGCTCTGAAGAATCTGCCAAAGGACCTCAATGACACATATGATGATGCGATGAAGCGAATTGAAAGCCAGGACCAAGAGGACAGAGAAATGGCTCATTCAACCCTTATGTGGGTCATGCATGCTCAAAGACCTTTGGAGGTGCCAGAACTACAAACAGCCTTCGCTATTGCAGACGCCCCGAGCCAGCTTGGTAAAGACAGCAGTAATATAGACATTGAAATTCTTCTGTCTGTCTGTGCGGGGCTGGTGGTTGTCGACAGCCATTCTTCTGTGGTTCGACTAGTGCACTACACAGCACAGGAGTACCTGAACAGCATTCAGTCCCAGAAATTTCCACATGCTCAGACTGAGATAGCACTCAGTCTACTCACATACCTCAAATTCACAAACTGTGCTGCACTTTCCGGGTCCAAAAAGAAACTACCTGTGTTGCTCCCGTACTGTCAGTATTCCCTGGTTCACGCGCAGGGCAGGCCAGAGGGCCCCCTCAGAGATTTGATCATAGATTTTCTCGAGCAGGCTGCTGCATTCAGGAAATGCACATTTCAGGTATGGCATTCAGCCCCATGGAATTTCCTGGATTGGCCCAAAGAACCGTCGCCACTATGGGTGGCGGCAGCCGCAAACCTGGTGGAAACTGCAGAGTTTCTCGTACTGCAAGAGACATCCCCACTGAGTGGCACGGGAAGCACTCCACTACAAGTGGCTTGCTATTATGGCCATCTGTCGATGGTTCAATTGCTCATAGAGCATACTGCCATTAATGTCAAGGCTGGACGATATGGCAGTGCCTTGCAGGCGGCGTCAGTAGAGGGTCACGAGAACGTTGTCCGAATCTTGGTTGAAAATGGCGCTGATGTGAATGCGCCGGGTGGAAGATACGAGAGCGCCCTCCAGGCAGCAGCATCTGAAGGCCATGAGAGCATTGTTCGATTTCTGGTCAAAAATGGGGCTGATGTGAATGCTGTGGGCGGAAGGTACGGGAGCGCCGTTCAGGCGGCGTCATTACAGGACAACCAGGGGATTGTTCGATTCCTCCTTGATAATGGGGCCAATGTAAATGCAGAGGGTGGAAGATATGGCAGTGCCCTGCAAGCTGCATCCGGACAGGGCCACAAAACCCTCATACAACTCCTAATTGATAGTGGGGCCGATGTGAATGCGCTGGGAGGGAGATATGGGAGCGCGCTGCAAGCCGCTGCATTACTCGGGGACGAGAGCGTTGTTCGGTTGCTCCTTGATAATGGGGCTATGGTGAATGTACCAGCCGAAAAGTATGGCAGTGCACTTCAAGCTGCAGCGTTACAGGGAAAAGAAGGTGCTGTTCGACTGCTTCTTGAAAGAGAGGCCGACGTGAATGCGCAGGGAGGAGACTTTGGCAGCGCACTCTTCACTGCGTCGACCCGGGGGTACACATACGTCGTCTGGTTGCTGCTTAAACACAAGGTTGAAGTGAATGCACAAGGCAATAAAAAGTATCACAATGCCTTGCAGGCAGCATCGTTCGAGGGTCACGAAGACATCGCGCGGATGCTACTTGCCAATGGAGCCGATGTCAATGCGGAGGGCGGTGAATACGGC